GGTGACCCTTGAACACCCATCCTGGACAAAGCCCAGGGATCCTTATGACACTGTGAGCAGGGGAAGTCTCACAGAGCTGGAGCCTAACTGGGCTGTAGGGTGAGCATACCTCCCTCTGCTGGCTGCCTCCAGCTGATAGATGCCTGTGGCTCATAGATGATGTGGTGGCTGGGCGGAGGCATGCTCACTGGGCAGCCAATTGGGTGGCCTAGCCACTCAGCTGTGCTCAGCCAGTGCAGGCACACTGCATCCTCCCCGCCCCCACCAAAGGGTGAGCATATGTTCTGTTCACTCCCGATCTAACCTAGGTTGCTTAGAATAAAACACATAACTTAGATCAGTTCTGCCTTAGGCTTTTTGAATGTTTGTTTATACTGGACCAATACAGTGCTAGGATATATTGTAACCAGATGTTCCATTTGCATTATCTACCTAATCAGAAGAACTGTAGGTGACTTTGTGAAGTACAGGGTGCACACTGAGAAGACGTACTGTAAGAAAGCGTTTAGTGGTGTGTTCCCTCATGGAACCACTTAGGATAATTCCAGTCTGAAGATGATAGGGTGTGTGAAGTGGGTGCATCATGTGCCACTGTGGCACTCCCTAGCATCGCATATGGGTAGTGTGGATGTTTCCTTAAGTATTTTAGGACCAAGTCATTCAGGACATTGAAAGTAAGGACCGAGATGTTGACTTCCATTCCAGGTTCAATGGGAGGCTAGGATACAGGCAATCAGAAGATAAATGGGATGCATTTCTGAGGTGTTTTGTAGTATGTATAGTTTTCAAGGCATTATTGATTTAGTGCGTCTGAGATAGTTTGAAGGTATGACTAACTGAAATGCAATCATTGTTTGGCAGGATACAACAGAAAATTCTAACCAACTTGAGAGACTTGAAATATTATTCCTGGATGCAAGCCTCATACCTGGCTGTCTGAATATCAGTAACAATCACTTTGTATAATGTTACATGAAAAATACTTAATATTGAAGATGATCATTATTTGTCCACTGCCATTACAATCTATCAGATCACTGAATCTTGCTAATCAGATATGTTCTCTCTCTCTCTCTCTCTCTCTCTCTCTCTAATTTAAGAATTATTTATAACAGATCACATAGAAAGGCCAGAGATAGGTAATCAACTTTTATCTAAAGCAAAACTAGTCACTCATGTGGAGAAAAGCTCCAATCTTGCTTATGTGATTGAATGTCTAGGACTTCACAATCACCTAAAGCAGGGGTGCCCAATCCCTAGCCTGTGGGCCAGGCCTGGCTCCTAGAGCCATGTTATTTGGCCCACAGGGCTCCTTACAGATGTTTGGGGATTTCTGCAGGCTATGTCCCTCCATGCTAGAGTGGGTTCCTGCAGGGCAGTATGGGGCCTGATCCTGGCACATGGGGCTTGGGCAAGGGTGGTGTGGGGCCCCAGAGCCTGATCCTGGCATGTGCAGGCCAAGCAGGGACAGTATGGGATCCTGGAGCCGAATTCTAGCTTGGCAGAGGCAGCACAGAACCCCAGGGCCTGATGCTAGCTAGGCAGAGGTGGTGCAGGGCCTGATCCAGCCCATGGACCAGACTCACACCATTCATTTGGCCTGCAGGGCCAAAACCTTAAGCACCACTGGCCTGAACCAGTGATTTGCAACCAAGATACTGTGACATCCTAGGGTGTCTTGAGATCCTATCAGGGGTACAATGGGGTCCACACAGTATTAGCACTGTTAGGTGTATGTACCACTGCTTTTCAGGGCATGGAGTTGCCCTGTTATGCCACTGATTTGCAGTATTGTTTATCTAACATTGTCCCTGTTTGAAGTTTGCCTCGACAACAGCTATTGGTTCATCTAGTCAGTTGCTCTATTTCATGAGTAGGACAGGCTGTCATAGGAAGGGTTTATTTCTACACTTTCCTTTCATTTTTAGGTTGTCACTTTCAAAGAGGTAGTAGAGAATGTTTCGTAGCTTTGTCATCAGAGGTCAATTTTGAAGGACGAGAGATTGAATCAAATCTTGCAGAATGGAACAGGTTTTCAAAAACACTAATAGGAACATACATGTTGTCAGAGCTGATAAAACAGCATATTTTCTAGCACAGCCTCCTATCTCTAGTGATGCAGACATCATGTACCTGATGCTTAAAAAGAAGGCTCAGGAAACACCATGATGTACAGTTATGGACGTAGATAGCAATGACTGGGAGTCATTTTTTAAAGTAGCTTGCCTCCATAGCTAGTTTCTAGTTGCAGAGATGGTGGTGTCATACTTAACAAAAGCTCTTCTCTAAGACATTCCATATATGCATTATTCTTGACCTCTCCAGTGTTTTGCTTGCTTACAAACTGTCTGATCTGGTAAGGTGCTTAACACCTGCATGGCTTTAGTTTCCATGGCATCTTCTGTGATCATCACCTTGAAGGATCAGGTCAAAGACATTACTGGTTGAGTAACTGCATATTATAGCCTGCATTTAGAACAGTCTGAAATAAATCTGGTAAAATCACATATAGGCATTCTGTTTGACATCAATGTGACTACACTTTGATTCTCTAGAGATGCAGGGAATCTAGCTGTCCATTTGAAGGCTTGTAATTTTCAAATACTCTGAAAATAAAATACTATCTGGATGGGTTTTGCATGAAAAATAAATCTATTCTAGAAGTGATTTCTTTTCACATTAGCCATTTACACACAGAGAGGAATTAGGGCTTCACACAATATTGATCAAATAAAGTACTGAAAATTAGCTGTTTACTTTTAAAAACAGCATATGTATCACATTAGTTTCTTTGCAGCTGCTTTTACTAAATAATGCTTTTGTGCCTCTGAACTTAATATTTTTAGTTTAACACATATTGAATCTCAATAGGAAAATACACACATTCTTAGACATGAAAAATTACAGTGAATGTGAGGCTTAAATCTGTATATTTATTACTGTTGTTCCAAGCAAGAGGTATATTTCAAAAGCAGGAGTAGTTTATACTTCAATGGAAATAACTATGAAAGAAAGCAGCAAGTTGCTGCTTATCTGTTACTGCAATCATAGCTATTTCTGTCAGTCTTTATATGAACAAGAAAGGGGAAAGATATTGAAAGGAGCACAACATATTTCTATAACATTACTACTGGCTAAATGTGTAAAAGGAAATAAGTACAAGACTAGCACTAAGGGTAGTATTGAAGTATTTCCACTGCTATACGATATCTATCGCTATTCTAAAAATATTTCTATTTAAGTTTATTTTCAAGGGGTTGTGAATAACTTGTGTTTCACAAGTGTCGCAAACATTACCATTATTTTTGTGCCTACAGACACTGCAGTTAGTGAAATTGTAACATAATTACAAATAAAGATAAGATGGTCAAAATAGAGCAATGATTGTGGAGTACTAGGCCTAAATACAGACAGTCGAAAAGCCTGAGGCTGGACTGATTCACTCTTTTCAGGTTAGTGCAAACTGCACAGATTAAATTGAAACAGAAGTGAACAGACATTTATCTTTGATTCAGGAAATGCAGTTACATGCCTGCAGTGGCTCAAGCTGAAAGCCAGGGCTCTCTGGCTGTGTGTTCACTTCCTCTTCTTGCTGCCTCCAAGGTATTTGGGATTTGCAGTCCAGAATTACAGCAGCAGGACTGTGCAGGGTTGCTTATCTCTTCTTCTTACTGCTTCCAGATACCTCTGGGATTTTTAGTCCACAGTTGCAGCCAGCAGTAAGTTTGAGTAGGGGAAGGGGTGTTTAGCCCCACTCCCTGGTCCCAGATCCCAGCTGGGGTCTGCCTGGGGGGCCAGTCCCCACTATTGCAGACTGGGCCGCATCCCCAGCTGGGCTTCTCCGCCCCACCCCTTTTCAGCTAGCCCCCACTGCTCCAGCTAGAGGGGTGGAGTCATCCTTGTTCTCTGGAGCAGACAGCACAGCACAGCTCAGGGCTGCAAAATGCTGGAAGACTGTGATTTAACTTGAACCAGGAAGGGATTTGGGACAGAAGTTTCATAAACTGGTCTGATCCAAATCTGTTCAATCTGATACTACATTCAACCAGGTTCATCTTAAACCAGTTTCAGCCATTTGAAACTGGTTTATGTGCACTGCGCTTCTGTTCTGTTACAGGTTTAAACCGATTTCTGATATCTTAAACCGGTTTATGTGTAACTTCTGTCTCTAGCCCAGGAACTCAACTTTACATATATCACCCTCTTAACTGGTTTAGGTACCATGTTGTTCTGATACCTGTGTTCTAGTCCTGATTGTTGTTCCACCATGTTCCTGACATTTCTATCCCAGTAGCTATATCTCTGCATTCCAGGCCCCCCCCCCCCCCCCCCCCCCTTCCTTCTTTCCCCCCTGCCACACCCATCTTCCTTTCTGCCCATCCCCCTGCCACGACCATCGTCCATTCTGCCGTATCTAGTTCTTTCTTACTGAGCATGTCCAAATTTGTAATATCTTTATTGGACCAACTATATAGTTGGGAGGAAGTTTGATAAGCTTCTGGGCACAGATCACCCTTCTTTAGGTCTGGAGGAAAGGGTGCTTTGTGCCTGAAAGCTTGTCAAAATTCTCTCCCAACTATGAAGTTAGTTCAATAAAAGATATCACAAACAAAACCCTTGCCCTTTGTACATTTTCTGGACCATCACAGCTAACAACAATACTCCACCCGCACTACACATTCAAAATCACAGTCAGTGCAGATACAGTCCTTTCACTGAGTGTACTGCCTGACACTTGATGCCATCAACACTGGCTTCCTAATCTGTTTTCCTAATCTGACTCTCAATCACTCAGTCCAGATAGCCAAACACTATCTGGACTCTCCACACTGTGGGGTGATATACTTACCATTTTTTCTCCTCCTATGTGTTTTAACTGGTTCTTGAAATAGAGTCTTTGGAACTGCACTGGAAAGGGGATTCCAGCTAACAGTGGATAGCATGGTATGAACCACTGTTAAGGAAATAATATTTATGCATTTATGTTCTTTCTTTTTCAGAACAATGGTTCACTGGCTTGGTGCCAGAATCACAAGCAATGTTCAAAGGTATTTTTTTTTGCTTTAATTACACAATAGCTTTGGGTAAGGAGTGGGGGGTATTTGTTTGGTTATTTGGTTGTTTGGTTATTAGATGTTCTAATTTTAAGGTATCTTGACAAAATTTGTAAATGAGTTGACAGAATTTTATTTTTTGCTTACTGGAGACCAATAAGGCGCATGTTAGGGGTAGGTAAATCCTGAACTGGTGGATATCAGCACAGCTCTGTGGCTGTCAGTGGAATTATGTCTGTTTACACCAAATGAAAAAATGGTCTGTAACTTTTATTCAGTGCTTTTTGAAGAGAGGAAAGCAAAGTTGCGAATCTTGTGAAAGTGAAGCCAGTCTTGTTAAAGTATACCTCCAACAACCCTGAGGTGCTCCAACATTAGACTCTTCATTCCATCTGGACATTTAATATCCAGCGTAAGGCTGAATTTCTTTGACACAATTCTTTTACAAATCCCAGTGGCTGTACTGTTGCTCTTTCTCATGCTGACTCTTTGACCCCAAAAGCTTAGAGGGTAAGTGAGTTAATATCCAATTGATTCCACCGGACAAGAATCTTGCTAGGTTGCCTGGAGAGAAGCAACAATGCTACAGCAGCTTTAGAGGGTCAAAGTGGAACTGCAGGGTCTAATCAGTGACTGCTCTTTTCATAGACACACAATGGTAGATGAATCCATTCTCTGCCTTAGAAATTCACCTGAAAACTGTGAAGAATGCATAGTAAAGAACTGTGGAAAAAAGAGCCTCTAAATCTCCATGATGGTGGACTCCTGCAATAATTTAGGCTTTGTAATGTATAGCTATCTGTATTTACTGTTTATTCCATGATGGATTTGCCATAAATGGGGTCAAACCACAGTAGAATGATAATTGAATAGATTGCTGGATAAAGAGATGTATTGTTTAGTTTTCATAGCCAAGCTCGGTCTACCTCATGATGTCTAGACATTCCCATATGCAAAACATTTTGTGCATTACCAGCTTAATGTAATCTGCCTAAATGATACTAATATTTGGTGATTCCTAATATATATTATATCACCATTTCCTCAATAAGAATTTTAGATCAGTTATTTTCTAATCCAATTTTCTTTGAAGTTACTGGCATCTTTCCCATTGATAATATTGAAGGTAGGTTGATTGTCATACTAAGTGAAAACAAACAAAGAAAAAAGTATCTGTACTAGCAGTGTTTTAAACATGTTTTATTTATACATCTGTAAATTGCATGTGAGCAACAGCATGTCAGTATCAGAAGAAAGAGTGAAAATAATATCTAACAGTACATTTAACTTTCAGTACTTTGTCATCCTGAATTCTTAGGAAAATAAGTTCTATAGGATATCCTTACACAGTTAAATCTCACTATGCACGTAATAAAGATTTAATCAGAGTATGTGATGTATTATAATTAAATCACTTCTGAAAGAATATGCTGGGAAGTGGGGGGCTTGTGCATTCTTTAGGTCACTTTGTGCCACTTTTCACTTTAATTATCAAGGCTGATGCTATACCTCTGATATTCTTAGCAGCATATTTCAAAAATATACTTCCTCAAAGGATTTTGCTTGCATAATAAAGAAGGAATTTAACAGTGTCCAACATCTAAAGTAGGGCAGAGGTTAAATGAACATCTATTTGAACTACAACCAAGTTCATAGAAACCATACAAGTTATATCTGATCTAGAATGAATTTAAGGGGAAACTTTATATTGTATTTCTGTTTCAAAATGAATGAATGTTGCAAATTAAAAGTATTTGAAGATTGGAAACATAACCAGTATTAAAAACATATCTCATTGAATATAACTGTGCATGATAACTTGTTAGTCAGAAAGATAACACAACAGTAGGTTTGTCCTCTAAGAAGAAAATAATGAATTTTGCCAAAATCTTAATGGAGCTTAACAGCAGTCTATGTGAAGTATGGTAGTGTTTACAGCAGGGTATGATTCATGGTATTCTTGGCCAGTAGTTTCAAAGCAGTACAGACCTTTTTTATCCAACTCTCATTTGCTGCACTGAACATCTCTGTGATTGAGCTTAAGTGAACATTTTTTAATACTTCAGACTACAATTTTGAAAGCTCCTTCCCCAACCCTTGACTTCCACTATAATTTTCTGCCCAGAGTCCTTACAAAGACATATGGAATGGCTAACTATAGGCATGCATGATATCAACAGACATCCAACTACCTTATTTTAGAGTTGTACTCCTAAATTAAACACTGAAGGAAGTTAATTTGATACCATAACCATTTGCATCTAAACTGTGCAGAAGAAATTTGTCCAAAAAAATCATATCAGTGGCACAGGTGGTCTGGATATCACTGTAAGTGATCACGTGGATAATTCACTAATTCATTGTGCATGAGAGGGGAGGTGGAAGGCCCCCAAAGAGGCCCAGACCCCCTACCAATGTGCCTCAGCACTTACCTTAGGAGCTGGGATGGGCAGTAGCCAGGAGGCAATGCAAGCGCAGGCTCGGCAGTTCTGCAGCTGCCTGAGCCTGCATATCAGTGAAGGCTGGGGGTGTGGCTTCTGAGCAGCATGGGCTGCTCAAAAGGCATGGGGGGAGCAGCTAGAGGAAGGCTGGGAAGCCAGGAGTGGAACGCTGGCTGCGAGATGCCAGCTGCAGAACTGGCTGGCTCCGACTCCAAGTGCCTCATCAAGGAGCTAGACGCCTGCTGGAGGATCCCAACCAGGGAGGGAGAAGGCAGCTTCGGAGACTGGCAGGAGCAAGGGAGCCTCATGGAGGGGCCACCTCTATGTGGGATGCTGCTAGGGAGCCACAAGGCTCCAACCAGGGGCTTGGGCACTGTAGCTGGGGATGCCTCCTCCAGCTTGCAGGCACCCACGGACAGCCCTGCAGCAGGCAGAGCATGGGGGATCATGAGCCCCCAGAAGGAGGAAGGAGGGGAGGCCGACCGGAAGAACCAGGGCAACTGGACTGCAGGTCAGCCGGGTCCCAAGGAGGTGACACTAGGGGAATGTGTAGAAGCTGGGCACAGGACGATTGCCTGTATCCATTGTGCGGGCCAGGAGCGACCCGAGCCCTTTTCGCGCTGCACGCGGGCTGTGGCCAGCAGGCCGGGCACGCCGGGGCGGAGAGGGAAGGCCTTCGAGCTGGAATTAGGCACGGACGCGTAGTGGTAGTTTAAAAGATTGTTTACTTACACCGAGATGGCAGTGGTGTAGGCTGGAAAGCTTGATTAAGTTGCAGTTACAGACA